CATTTGTTTAACAAGTCATTTATGCAAGAAGAACATGAACTTGAAACACTAACCTGATCTCCTCCAGCATCAACAAGAGTTATGTCAGGTTGTCTGTATGCAAGACCTAATTGCTGGCTGTTGTTTCTTTCAGCAGCCAAACCATTTTCATGAATGACTGCTTTCTGCAATGAATCTTCTGTAATTAAGCCAGTTTTTCATATATTCTGCATTGAACTTAAACACAGATCAGTTGAAGCAGTCTTTGTCTCCAGATTAGCATTCTGCGGACAAAAGCTTGGATGCCTTTGTGTTGCTGAAAGTAGTTATTACCAATTTATCATCGGCCAGCCCATTTCCTAAGTGCAAAACACTGTTTCTGGTTTTCTCCTCACTTGTTATTCAGATAGGAGCAGTTTTCAAATTAATTTGTAATGGTATGTGTTACTATATTCATTGGGCTAAATGTGGACCCCCCCCTCTGGCTTCTTTGCACCAGCCTAGTGTTACAAGCATGCTATAAAACTGATCTGGTACAGACAGGCTCAAGGGTCTGGAGGAGGGTATATTTCAGCAATCCACATAGATGTGAACGCTTGTCCAAGAAGCAGTTGGGACAAGACTCAGGTGGCAGTATACCAACTGTGTCTATTAGGCTTAGATAAAGTGTGATGCGAACTAAAAATTTTGTTGTTTTTTAAGAAAAGATATGGTCGTCTTATTATTTGTTCTTTACTTTTGAGCCATGGAGGCTTAAAAGAAAAGACTCTTCAAAAATTTTTCGAGGTGATAAATGTGGAGACTAAACCATTGGAGTGGGCAGGCCAGAAACAGAGCTGTGGCACATGTCTTGCAGAAAGAGAGAGAGGCACAAGCATGCTCAGTTCTCTCGTCGCCTGACTGTGAGGTGGAAGGGAAGGTGCTCATGGCTCCTGCTCAAGATGCTGTTACACTTTGTGCAATGGAGCTGAGGGTCTCTCTAAGATAGTTTGGTGAACCTTTTATTTGGTTTGCAACCTACAAGTGGCCCATGGGCTGCCAGTTGAAGAGGTCATTTCAAGACTTTATCCTTGAATGCTAAGAACTTAGTGACTATGAGTAGGATTCTCATGCTTTTCTCTATTGCTTTTTCTTATTCCAAGCAAATCCTAGTTGAGTGGACATTTACAGCTCAGATCTTCAAACTTCAAGCATATTTTAAAGCTTTGCTGAACTGAAGATAAAGGCACGGCTGAGTTCCCTACAGAAGCAGACAGACATGAAGTATATTCTTACTGTTGTAAATCAACATAAAGTACATTCTTACTGTTGAAGATTTGATCTATCATCTAATACTACCAACAAAAAAATGCCTCATAAACATAGATATTTTATGATACAAAACCTGCAGTGAGGAGATAGAAAGGGCATACTAGTGGGTGTCAGTATTATAAAGAGCATAATTAATTTGAATATGTATCAAGAGCAGTATCGAGATAAATATTCACCAAAAAATTGAATCATCATGTTGCTCTATTAGTCTTTCATTGCCGAGTTGTAAATATAAAAGCAATGTTGCCCAAACGCAACTTCTGTCTTCATTTGCAATGTTGCTCATTGTCATGCAAAACTTAATATACTTAGTGTTTTAGATGCTGAAATTTCAATGTAATCTAAATACCATCATTGAGATTTCCATGGGTTTGTATTTAAGACTCTTTCTTTGCATATCAGTTCATTTTTACATTCTCTAGTGGCCTTGAATGAAAGTGTGCAAACACTATCTGTTAAAAGATTGCATTTACAAACACAATACTTTTGGTATTAAAAGTCATACAGATATCCTATTACTTTAATTACATATAAAATCCAGTCCCTCTGAAGTATAGAAATCTCACCACATACACATCTATGTCTGGATGATGGAAATGTTTGTACTGCTTGTTCAAATAGGTAGACTGATACCTTTGCAAAAGATGTAATAACAGCTAAGATCAAGGCTTTGGAAAGCTCCATTTTGAGGCACTGTTATTTTTCATGCTGTTAAAATTACTTTTAATCAATTTCTTCAGTATTTATTTGTTCGTACCAAAAAAATAATCCTGGGGACACTGATAATCTACTTATTTGGAAAAATACATGTTTAATGAAATGTACCTTTCAGAAATAAGCCCTTTATAAAATCTTGAAATATTCAGTGCAGAGAAACACCCAAATCCCATAGAATTCACTGAAAAGAATATTGTGAATTTCAGTAGGCTTTTGTTGATTAGGCAATTGTAGAGGTAAATACTTTCTATCACCACAAAAGCTCTGCTTCCTTTCTTTATAAGAACAGCATGATTAGAAATATAAAGATTACAGAGTACATCAAGCAAAATCCTTCATTAATAGCCTATAGAGCCCATTAAACAAAATAACTCCAAGAACTTTTAAGCTTAAATGGACAATGAAAGCAAGGTAGCAAAGCTGAAAAATGTGTAGCATTTAAGTGGGATAAGGCCCATGCCAGTCCCAGTGAAGAAACTGTATTCCTTTTATTTGGAGCTTTTCCCTGCCCATCCTCTGGCATGCTAAGCTGAGAGTCACTACATAGTGGTTGACGTATTTATTTTTTTGCTGTATCAAGCATTCCCTTTAAATCATAAGAATGGCTGTAATTACTGATAAAAAAAACATTATCATTACCATCTGATGATGTGCTCTCCAGACAGAACTTTGCCAGAATCGTGTGTGATGGCAGCAGCACTGAGCAGCGTACCTAAGCATGCTTTCTTGTCCAGCCATGAAGATAGGACAATCACCTCCAGGCTGAGTAGGGATGAGCAGCCTGGGTGAGGGTGCAGGATTGTTATCACCTTTCCTTGTCTGTGGAGAATTGAGAGCCACTGGCCCTCCACTGGTGTTGCTGCCTGAGTGGATCAGACTGGAGCAAGCTGGATATGTCTGCTCACAATGCAATTAAACCTCCAGGTTAGCTCTCTGGACACAACCTCAGCTAGTCCCGGATCTGTTGTCAGACCTATGGAGAAAACATTCATTTTTGATAAACAACAGGGGACATGGCAAAAAGAGGGCTTACTATAACATTTTCATTCTGGGTAATAGTGAAGTCAATATAAAAAAGTTGCTGTTTTCATTCTCCTCTGCAAGATTCTCCAGCAAATTGCCCAGAAAATATTTTCTCCTCCCTCCAAACTGTTTTTAGAGCTGCAATCCTGTACATTTTTTCTGAAAAATTCCCAGCAGGGAGAGGCATGGATGCTTGCAGCATCTACCTCTTCCTAAGTTAGTGTTACAGTCTTGTTGGATAAATGGAGTGCTCCTGTAAGAGAATTTTTTAGTGTACTTTCAGAATATAGTTTTTATTTAAAACTTGGAAGTATCATACTCAGATCATACTTTCTCAAGACAGCAGTCAAGAAAGTGCTTGGATCTACTTGAAAATCTTATTTTTTAAAAAACACCCTAGTTTGAAATTAGGGTTGTTGGTGTGTCCTCATGCACAGTGCTAGAAAATGAGAGAACAAAGCCAGTACAAACTTCTTCAGATGTTCACCATAAAAGCTATCTAGATGCATTCAGCAAGAAGTCTGCATTTCTCCAGACCCTACCAAAAAAAGTTCCAAATGTGTGTTCCCTACACAGCCCTGTCATTGGTTTTTTTTTGCAGCTGACTCATGTCTGAAGGGATCAAAGTCATAGAGAAAAAAACCCATTAAATTCTGTATTTTACACTTTGTCTTCCCTGGCAGGTTGCCTGAAAGATCTTTTCAAATGGGCTATTCCTCTTTCAAATCACTCTATAAATTCTAAAATGTTTGATCAAACATTGTACTTGTTACTTTGCAGAAACAGAAGCGAGTTTTATCAAAAGAGCAAGCCATCTGACCCCCTGAAAGCCAGGCAGCCTCAGTGCTCAGCAACCTCGGCAGCAATCAGGACAGCAGGGCAGCATGGCCAGGAACATTACTTAGAGTGAAACGTTCATTGTACCACTGCAAAAGTATAACATCCTCATAAAAAGTGGATCTCAAGTGCTGCTCAGCTGACACAACAGACTTGAAACAGTGAAGGGCTCTTCAAAAATTTGATGAAACTAAGGAGGAATTTGGACTCTACCTTTAGCAATGCAAATACAAATTAAAACATAAAAAGCTCCCCCTTCTCAGCTGTGATTGAAATGTGACATATTCAAAATTCAGGAAGTGGTTTTTGGGTTGTTAGCAGCACAGACTTAGGAAGAAGGGGGTGCAATGGAGGTTGAAGGCCCTCCTGCTGA